ACTTTAGAGAAATTTCATAGCTGCATGTTTATATTTTATACAATTTCTGTATTATATTTAGTTATGAGGTTGATAAAGTAAATCTATACACATTTTTAGCAGTTAACATGTAATTAGATGTGTTTAGGTCTTTAAATTTTTTTCTTGTATTTGTAATTGCTTTTCTCTTTTTCTTCATAGGGCTATTCCAACCTGGAGACAAGGAATATAGAAAATGTGAGATAACTGAATTGCTATTTATGTTTTGAGGATATTAGCATATTCAGTTATACTAAGAGAATAACTAACCATATTCTTTAAATAGTACTAGCTTAGCCAGATTGATTATTGTGCTGTACGTGAATTGAGAGATATTTTTAAGTTTCATGCAGCATTGTCATTAGTATTTCCTGCTTCTACTAAGAGGACATTTAAGGTGTATGTTGGCCTGTTATTGATGTAAAAGTTATTTAAATAAGTTTATGTTCAATCTTTATTCCATTTAAATACTCAAAACATTTCAAAGATATTTTGTTTTTTTTGTCATGTGTAGCAAAATAAATTGGGGGTAATCATAGAAAGACATTTTTTAAACCAAAATTTTGTAATTTTTTATAACTTTGAAGTAAGTTAGCTTAAGTAACAAAAATATAAAGTGTCTTTTTTGAAGAGTTATGAAATAACTTAGTATTTTTTTCTAAGTTTAACAGATTGGTAGTTTGTCAGTTATTACATTTTTGTGTAATAAACATTTTGTATTTGTTTGAAGCATGCATTGTTTTATATAGAGAATACTTTTAAAATATACCTTGCACCTCAAATTCCCTATTAATTGTATTATTGCTATCATCCTTTTGATTTCCTTTAGCTATTCCCAATTGCCATTCACTCTCTCTGAACTTCATATGTTTATAAAATCTTTGTGTCTTTCACATCTTACTGGTTAATACAGTTTTATTTCTGCTCTGTTAGCCTCAAAATAGAACTTTTTGTTCTGAAATATCATCTGAAATAAGCCAGCTTTAAAATACTTTTTTTTAGGTAGCATTTAAAATGTTTCAAAATTGCTAGGCAAATATATTGGCCCAAAGAGTTTATTTTTAAATTTCTAAACTTTTATAAATGAAAACACAGTTTTACTGAATTCAACTTTTCATATTATAAAATCTTAGATCCTAACCCTAATTAGTTTTCATCTTATAGGAAACCTACTGTATTCATAAAACTACCAAAAAGTTGTTTCTTATAATTTTATCTTAAGGTATCTTTTTTTAATATTTATTTTTTTAGTTTTAGGTGGACACAATATCTTTATTTTATTTTTATGTGGTGTTGAGGATCGAACCCAGCGCCCCGCGCATGCCAGACGAGCGTGCCCCCTCTTGAGCTACATCCCCAGCCCTTAAAGTATCTTTTAATTTTAATTTGTTACAGATGGGCTAAATGACTCATAGTGGTCAAAACCTTTTCCAGTATACCAGTTAATATTTCAAAGTATGTAGATTCCAAATTTTAGAAATAGAATTCTAATTGTATAGTTATTGGTATTTATGAGAAAACCAATTCAAACAATCTTTAATTGGAAATGTCCATTGTACTTATATTATTTGTTCCACATAAGTCTTTTAGATGATTTGAAGTAGTTCAAAAATAAAATGTGAAAGATAGGGAATTTAACAACAGAACTGAACCAGCTACAAGATACATAAAAGTAAATCTTTCTTCCATTGCTTTTTGTTGTACACAAATGCAGCATTCAGTTTCCTACATCTAAGCTAAGCATTATGATTGATGTGTTTCTTGTGGCTTTTGTTTATTTTGGGGTGTTTTGTTTCAGCGCTGGAGATTGAACTCAAGGCCTCAACCATGCTAAGCACATGCTTCCCTACTGAGCTATACTCCCAACCCTGTTCTATTTTATTTACCTATTTATTTACTTATTTTTAATAAAGTATGGATGTTTCTCTGAAGAAAATCAGTCTTTCTGACTGAATTTGAAGTAAAGGAGGAATTTGTTATATAGATCCCTGCTTAAAGAATGTAGGATGGCAGAGTGCTTGCCTAGCACACACAAGGCTCTGAATTCAGTCCTCAGACTAGGGAAAAAATGAATGTAGATAAACATAATCTAAAATGTATTTAGTTATAGGTTCATTGATGAGATGTGAAATATACATTTCTTACACTGGTTTAAAAGTATATTAATAATAAATGGATGGAGTTAGAATATCATGCTAAGCAAAGTAAGCCAATCCCAAAAAAACAAAGGGTGAATGTTTTCTCTGATGAGTGGATGCTAATCCATAATGGGGGGCGGGGCATGGGATGAGTGGAGGATTTTTGGATGGGGCAAAGGGGAGCAAGGGAGAGGTATGGGAATAGGAAGGATGGTAGAATGAGACTGATTGCATGAATGGTGTGACTCTACTTTGGGTACAACCAGAGAAGTGAAAAATTCTCCATTTGTGTACAACGAATCGAAGAGCATTCTGCTGTCATGTATAACTGATTAGAATAAATAAATAAATAGTATATTAATAAGAAGTTTAGAAAGAAAACACTAAAGAAATGTTACAAAGCATCTATAATTCCAAGACAACAGTTTTCTAAAATATAACTATGTATTTTACAACAGATACATGGAGGCACATATCACTTAATACATTATACATATTTTCCACATAATTTTAACTTTTTTTTTTTTTTTTTGGTGCTGGGATTTTTGAACCCAGGGACATTCTGCCACTTAGCTACATCCCCAGCCCTTTTTTATTTTTAATTTTGAAACAGGGTCTCTCTTAGTCATCTAGGATAGCCTCAAACTTGTGATCCTTCTGCCTCAGACTACCAACTCTCTGGGTATGCACTGACACCCTACCAGGCTTCAACATTATTTATTTAATGGCTAAATAATATTGATTTATAGATACTGTGTCATAAGATTTGAGCTATCTGTACTTAGTTAATTATGTACAGTGGCATTTTATGTGGAAGTTAGATTCTGTCGTACATATACCAAACATTTTGTATAGTCAGAGTCACTCATGAAAAGGCTTTTACTTACTTAGGAGATGTATTATATCTTTCAGTGAGTCCAGCATAGCAACCTTTTACTTCAATTTCATACTAAATTGCTAGCTCTTGAGCTTAAGAACAAGATGAAATATTTGGCTTCCCTAATTTAAGGACTATGTTGATGAGAATTGCGAATCATGTATAGAGCATGCACAATTGATTCTAGTAAATTAAATCAGTGTTGTGATTCAGTTTTTAACATCTTCAGGTATCTATGTACGTGTTGTATGTCGTGTGTGGGAGATCTTAATTGTAATAACAGTGAAAACTCCTGTCATGACTGAAGGACAAGGACTGTGAGCTTTATATTTGTAGCAAAGCACCAAGGTCAACACTGGGACCATCATGCTGTTTGTCAATGCATTATTTATTAAAGAAATGCAGGAATGCCTGTGAATAAGTAGTTAATAGTAGCAAAAATCATTCAAGGAGCCTTCAATTGTTGAATAAATAAAACACCAGCCATTAGGCACATTTTTAAATAAAATATTTTCTAAGAAAGCTAACAAAAGTATACCCAAATTTCTAATAAGAAAGTTAATTTTAAAGACGCTGTTTAGACTTGATCCTTCTCTTCCCCAAGAATGTCTCATGAATGAATCATATATAATAATAATATATATATATATATATATATATATATATATATATATATATATATATATATTAGGAGGACACAATACCTTTATTTAATTTTTATGTGGTGCTCAAGACCAAACCCAGTGCCTTACACATGCTAGGTGAGCACTCTACCACTGAGCCACAACCCCAGCCTCTGCCTCATGAATCTTTAAAGGAAAAAGTACATAGTAGAGGTAACTTAAACCCCCATTTTTTGAAAAATGAACCACCTTATTTCTGTCTTTAGTATATGGTTGATTGGAGAATATGTTGAGCTTATTTTGCTGTTGAGAATTGATGCAACAATGACTCCTGATGACACTTGGACACAGGTGTTAAATATGTAAGATTTGTGAAAGAAAAAAAATGCAGTCTCACAAATGATTACATAAGTTTTGTGTAAGGTGTGTATAGTGCATATATATAAGTGCTCTATGATAGGATTACATTCCAATAAACCTTTTTTAATGCAATTAATACACCTAATTTGATACATACTAGCTTGGCACTACTATGAATATTACACTATGTATTTTAATACCCTAAGAGTGTTGGTTGGTCCTGACTGACTATGCCTCCCAACCCTAGGCCCAGCCTTACATATTGCTAAGCTGGGTTGTGGAGAGGTGGTGTCAGAATTTAAAGTATGATTTCTATTGAAAAATCACTACATCAAACTTTGGTAAGTTGAAGATTATACATTTACTTATTTTTTTTAGTTGTAGATGGACACAATATTCATTTATTTTTATGTGGTGCTGAGGATCAACCCCAAGGTCTCACGTGGTGCAAGGCAAGTGCTCCACCACTGAGCTACACCCCCAGCCTTATACATTTATTTTTAAATGATTCTGGTCATTCCAAAGAAAGTTAGGTAAATCTCAACTTCTGTAGTGCTCGCAATTACATAAAAAGCATGTTTATATCCACCATTTTAATTAGGTTTAGTTTCCCTATTAAGCTTAAAAATGTGTTAACCCACACCCTGCACCCCCCAAAAATGACTCTATTAGCAAATTTATGCTGATCCATCCCTATTTTCAGATCTACCTCTTAACATTCTCTAGGGCCTGTACTTTGGCTAAATGAACTTGAAGCTCTTGTACTTGCCCTTCCTCCCAAATATCCCACTAGGACCAAAGTTTTAACGAATTTACAGGCTGTATTCTACAAGACCTAACTATTTGCGAACCTCTGGGCGCTCAAAGTAGAAAATGCTGTACATTTGCAGTCTACAGTATAGGGCTCCCATCATCTAGTTGGTTTGTGACCCAGTACATCCGGGTCATTAGGGTTTGATCACCCTTTTACGAATATTGCTTCCTGGTCGCGGTGGACATCACTTCCGGGGCAGCATGGCGGCCACGGAGGATGAGCTTCTTCCTGGTAGCGGTGAGGGAGAGCGGCTGGATTTCCTGCGGGACAGGCACGTGCGGTTCTTCCAGCGCTGCCTTCAGGTCTTGCCGGAGCGCTACTCTTCGCTGGAGACCAGCAGGTAATTCGTGGTTACAGTCTGGAGGGCGTACAGCGCAGCCCGGCCCCTTCGGAAAGACGCAGAGGAGGGGCTGGAATGAGAACTGGGCGTCTGCAGGGGGCTGCACTGCAGTCCAGCGACTCTGACCGCTCCCACCAGTCTCAGGCGGAATTGCAGTCACCCCTGCACCTCCGAAGTACGGCTGAAAGATTTGGAAAGCTCTAAGTGGAAGGTTTTTTGGAATCCTGAATTTCCGTCTTGTTACACAGCCATTTTTTGTTTATTCTGAGCTTCCTTTTCACTCGTTTCCCAGATCCCTTGATTCAGTTTGCTTCGTTATTTATGGTATAAAAGGAAAACACAAAGCTCCTATGCTTCTCTTTCTTCTGTAGTCAGTAACGCGTAATTGGAAGTAAATGTAGTTTTGGTGTGTAGGAGCAGTGGCGAGCCTGTAAGGTATGAGTAGAAATTTACTTTCCAGGAATTGTAAATCCAATGGTAAACAAAAGAGGTGCAGTGTTGCGTGAAACATTTCGTTAAAGTGAATTTGCAATTGCCTTTGGTAAAGTTAGAGTTAGCTAAGGAATGTGATTCACAGTAAAGCTGGGGTTGAGAAAGCGAAAGGAAGAGGTGATACTTGGCTCCGCATTGCTGCGTTTTAAAGTGAGGTTTCAGAACTGCATGGGACTGGATGAGAAGAAACAGATTGGTATTTTGAGTACTGTACTACTAGGTTAGTTTGGGGAATTACAGATTGCTTCTGCACACGTGGTCAAAAAAAAAAAAAAAATATATATATATATATATATATATATATATTTAATTTTTTAAAACTGTTTTTCATCTGGTTAAAATTTACAAATTCATTAAAAGAACTTTTACTTGGTAAAATAAATAAATAAATATATATATATATATATATATATATATATATATATATATATATATATATATTTATTTATGTAGGTAGGTATTGTAATACAGCTAAATAAGACAAGTTCCAGTAAAATTGTATATTACTGTAGAGTTCATGGGAGCGTATAGAAGGGCATGTACCTAATCCATGTTTTCTTAAGAGAGGCCTCTGTGATCACCACTTGACATGTATTTATTAGTTGATTTATTTACTAACTTTCGGTCACACCAAATTGTAAATTCATGAAGGCAGGATTTTTTTCTATCTTGTTTACCTCTACAACACTTTGGGACTGCCCTGTCCCATAAGGGATCCACTAGACACATTTTACTGTTTTGAGTCAATTAAGTCAAAGTTAAAAATCAGTTCCCCTATTCCAGTAACCACCACATTTCAAGTGCTCGGTCACCATATTTGCCATTGGCTGTTGTTTCTTTCTGTTTGAGCAATTTGGATCGTCTCACCAAGACCTGTGAGACTGCATTGCACTGGTGCCTTGAATGGTATCTGACATATAATAAGCAGTAAAGAAATATTTGTTGAATATGTGAGCTGGGCCTAGAAGGATAAACACATTCTTGAAAAGGTATAATGTCATTTATGTTATTTTCTCCATCTGTAGGACTGGCTAGCAGAGCCCATATCTACACCTTAAAAATTGAGATTTCAAGGGCTGGGTTCAATGGTAAGGGTGCTTGCCTAGCATGCATAGGACTCTGGGTTCAATCCCCAACACCATGCACAAAACGAAAGAAATCCAAAACTTAGTCCATTTGGTAGTGATATGAAATGTTTTAAAATGTTAATAGATCAAATTTATGGGGATTGATCTTATGAAAACTCAGAGAATTTGGATAAAAAAAATTATATCTTTTTGTTACATTGTGACTTAAATAGTCCAGCTTTGCTTACTTATAGCTCTGTGGTTACATTTTCAAGATGCCACTATGTTTGATCTATAAAATTCCAGCTTATACAAAACCATGCATGTTGGCATTAAGTTGTGTAATTCTGCTCACAACATAAGTAAAACAGCAAAAATTGCCAGACTTAATAAAATTTTACAGTTTATTTAATAATTTTTAAGTAGGTTCTACACCAAATGTTGTATGTTAGAGAATAGATACCACTGTTGCAATGGTTAAGAGGGATTAATTGTATTCTTTTTATGTTTAGTGTTTTGTCACTTGCATAGAATTTTTTTAATCATTTTTAGTTTTCCTATGCTCACTCAGTAGCCATATTTAAAGGTAACAATGTATCAGATTTTGTAGTTAGTTTTGGTTTTTTAGTTTCTCTTTCCCTGTGTACTGTTTTTACCTTCATTTATCATTAAGGTCTTTTTGTGATGTGTGTGATTCATAATTGCTTTTAAGATGGTTATGAAGAAGCTTTAACCTTTTAAGCAAAGGTGACTGATCACAAAATTTCTACTATGTTAGAGTTTTAAGATGAAAACAATGTATTGGGGAGCTCACAATTCTTACCTAGTATTGCACTTCAATTCTACAAGCATTAATTGAATGACTACTAGGTATCTAGTAACAGGAATACAGTGTTAAGCCAATGACTCAGGTGTTCTCTATTCAGTTATTTTTTGCAGATAAATATGAAACATTGACTTGTAAGGCAAATATTGGACCAGATATTTAGACATTATTTTCTGCCCCTGTATTTTGGAAAAATTATTCCATTTCCTATTTCTTTTAGTATGACAAGAATAAATGATTTTTTACTTTTCTAATGACATTTGCTTCATGAAAATAAGTATAGTGTTTGCTGTTTCATCTGAGGTTTTTCTTTTAACCTTGGAAAAGTGGTAATTTCTAGTTAAGTGACTAACCTCAGATGGTAAGCGTTGTCAATTAACAGCTCTTTTTGTGACTGTAGTTTAGAGTTTTTTGTTGTTTGAGTTATTACCATTTGTACTGGAATAATAAAAATTTGTATAGATAAAGCTTTTTTGACCTAGCTGTTCTTTAGGAAAAGTTTAGGCAGTTTTTATTCTATGACACATTTACAGTCTACCTACTTTTTGTGTATCTTGTGTTTAACCTCTCTGCTGCCCACCATTCTGCAACTACAATATCCTTTCAATTCCTCTCTTATATCCATTATATTACAGTCTAACAGTGTTTCTTTCAAAGCATAATTGTGGGAAGCTCTTTTTTAGTGCCCTAGGGTGCTTATAAAAATGCTGGTTCCTGGTCCCCTCCCCAGATCTACTATGTTAGACATGGGCCTGGGAGTTTGCATCATAACAAGCATCCCAAGTAGTTCTGATGTATGCTGAAGTTTGAGACTATCTGATAGGAGAAAAATGTATTCAGTAGATTATTACAACTGTGCTTCCCAATTCTCATGTGCATATGACTCACCTGAGATGTTGTTAAAATGCAGATTCTAATTGCATAGGTCTGGGTGGTGTCTGAGATGCTGCATTTCCAACAAATTCCCAAGTGCTGCTGATGTTGTTGATCCCTTGGCCACACTTTTGAGTTTCTATATACAATGATGGCAATATTCACAGGGCATAATGGAAGCACCTAACTAGCTCAAGCTGAACAGAGAGGAACTCAGAGAAGGCTTCCTGGAAGAAATAACTCCCATACTAAATTTTGTTAGAGTGTATTCCAGAGTTTTTTGGTGTTTTTGTGATTTGCTTGTGGGTTCCCCCCACCAAAAGATATATTGCAAATGGACAGTAAGAGTTAAGGCAGATAACTGGGTGTTGAGTAGATAACTAATGTTGGTTCAAAATGTAAGGCAAGTGTAGTAGGAATTGAGCCTAAAGAGGTAAACGTGGACCAAATCATTGAAGGCTTTGTGTGCCCTGTCCAGAAATTTGATATCACATGTGAGTAATGGAAACTCACCAAACAGTGGATCTTAATGATTAGAAATGTGCACTTCAGAGTGATCATGTGATTTGAGAATGATAAGTATTTTGGGTGAAACAGGACCAGAACCAGGGATATCAATTGGGAAGCTGTTGCAGTAGTCCAGGAGAGAAGGTGCTGAAATGTGAAATAGGAATAGAAAGTAAGGGATGAAGAAGGAATTGTCATCTCAGGATTCCAGTATTGGAACTATCACCTGGTTTGGAGAAAGGCAGAAAGGAGCAAATTTAGAAAGGAATGATTTCTATATATGTATCATAGAACTTGCTTAAGTTAGGAAGCTTTATTCATTTTTGTGATGAAATCTAGTTCTATACTAGTTTTTAGTAACTTTCTTCTGGAGTAATTAAGATATTTTGCATGTTGAGTAATTCTAACGTTGTGTGACTATACTTAAACATATTTAACAGATGAGTCAGCCATTATAAAGTCTGAATGAATAATGCTTACAATTTTAGAAATCATGCACTATTACAGTAATTCATTTTAAAGTATTGGGGCATCTATGTGCTAGTATTTTAACTTCATGATTGATTTTAATGTGTCCTCTAAAGGCTCTCTACGGACACTGTTATCAGTTTAATGTATGTTTCTTAATGTAGCTGCTTATTTATAATTTTGGAACTCTGCAGTATGACTTAGCCATAGCCCTACCCTGAGACCTATGCTGAAATACAGTCCATCTTGGAGATACCAGTAAAGGAAAGTTAAGGGGTTGTACCAGAAAGGAACAAAGCAAGTGATCCAAAGTTTGGGAAGCTAATCAACATCTATAAATCAGTATTTTCAATATATTTCCAAATTGTCACTCACTGCTCTGGCCTGGCAGCACACTGCTTATATCACTGTGACTAAATTCTTTTTTCCATTACCCAGACTTAATCTTGAAAAATGAGGTCTTTTAGAAATGTTTGGTTCATCTATCCCATCTTTGAATTGATTCAATGGTGAAGCAGATTTTATTTAGGGTGGGAAATGCAACTTTGCTGCCCAGGTAAGATAAACTCTGTGTGTGTGTGTGTGTGTGTGTAAAAATTTCCCAGTAGGAGCAGGGGATGGATGGAATGTGGCTTGCTTGCTTCAGCTTTTCAAGCTACAAACTCAGAGATTCAGTTATAGGAAAAGAAAGGAAGGAAACAAATGTTCTCCAGAAAAAGTAATAAAGTAAAAATAATGTAGTTGACCTGATTTTGGGTGCATGTATTGGCAAGTATTACTCCTCTATACATCCGGACAGAATTAGGTTAACCAGCAGATTTTATGCCAAGTAGCAGTCATTTGGGTACCATTAACCCTATATTATTTCTCTCAGAGGCCTACAGTCAAAAATAAATTTGTATTTCTTACAACTTGTTTAATTCTTTCCCTCACAAATACTTAGGGCTACTTGAGAATTCTGAGATTATCAGAAAAGGAATGCTTTACCAGCTTGTCTCAGAGGGAGGCTGGGCATTTGCTCCAAAGCACCTTCTTGGTTCTGTGTACCAGTCATTAACTGAACATTTCTGATGGGGCCTTACTTCATTTATTTATTCATTTATGTGTTTTAATGGTACATTATAGCTATACCTAATAGTGGAATTCATTGCTAAATACTGGTACATGCATATAACATAATTATAAATTTCATATCTTGCTACTCCCCTTTCTCTCCTCCTCCTTCCACCTGGTGATGGGGACTTAATTTATAAACATAAGCAATTCACTGTAGGTATGTTAATCCCAAAAACTTTAGAGTTTCTACTTAAACCTTCAACCTTGAGTTAAAAATACTGGATTTTTAGGAGCCTTTAATAATTAAGTATGCAAGGTTTTAAGATTCCTTACTACCATATGACTGATTTATTATATTTGATACTTGAATATAAATGAAATGCTTCCAGAAACAAGTAAAACAAAAGATCATTTAACCCTTCAGATAACAGTGTGAATAGAATTTCTCATCCTCAGCATTGTTCACATTTAGGGGTCAGAGAATTCTTTGTTCTTTGGGCCTGTCCTGGGTGTTGGAGGACTTCAGCAGCATCCATGGCCTTTACCCAAAAGATGACAGTAGCATCCTCCTGTAGTTGCTTGATTAGCAGCCTTGCTCTAATAAAGAACCACTGTGAAACCTGGCAGCACATTCAAATCATCTGGGAAGTTGAAAACAAAAATGTGCCCAGACCTTAACTTCCACCTTGAGATTCTGATTTAGTTGTGAAGTGAGGCCTGGACTTTTAGGTTATGTTGTGGTGTTTCAGCCTTTTTTGTTTGTTTAAGCTGATTCTAATGTTCAGAAGTTTTGAGAAGCACCTCTTTGGGGAAGAATACTGCACTGAGACTCAGATTTCCTTTTAATCGATTAACCAAAGCATAGAAATCTAATTTAATCCTTTGGATTTTATTGTCTTCAGTATAAAAATAAAGAAATGGTCTTGATAATTTCTGAAGTTTTTAACTTAGAAAAGAATACCAAGTTGTTTTTATAGCCTTTTGTTTTTTTCAAGGTTCTGTGGTTGGAACCCAGGGTCTGTAGCATGCAGGGCAAACACTAACCATTTAACTATACCCCCGTGGATGTTTTCTTACTATATAGCTTTTACTGACTAAAAGATCTTTGTTTTATCCATTTCCAACCTCAAGTCCTTCATGGTTTTTCAACTTTTATGTCTCTCCTCCTTTTGCTTTTCTCTATAATAATGCTTTAATAAACTATATTATTCAATATCAATTTTATCTAATCATGATTATTTACTTTATGGGTTATACCAAAGCTGAAAACCCTGTTAAAACTGTCAGAGAACATTAATAGTATTTCAGGTCTTTTATTTGTTAACAATAAATATTTTAAGTAATATCACCAGAAAAGTAGAGCTTTTCACATAAAACACTTACGTGATTTTCAAACTCAGTTGCTGTTATGTTAGAGGTTTCCCCAGTGTCCAAAGAATCATTTTGTTTTGGAAAAGAGCCTGCCTTTAGGGGAAAAGGTTGCCAATCAAGGACCTGGAGAAAAGGCTTGTAACACAGTTTGATTAAATATTAAGGTTATTATTATTCCTTTCCCACCATGTTAGGATAGACATCAATAATGATGGTTTCTATTTATTGAGTGCTTGTTGTAGACAGGTAAGCCCAATAACTCTGTGATGTGTAATGATGATTTATATCATTACTGGAAGCTAAAACTTAGGAAAGGTAAAGTATCCTGCTGAGAGTCATGTGACTAGCTATTGGCCAAGTTAGAATTTGAATGTAGCTCATTTGACAGCAGAGTTTGATCGCTGAATTATAGCATAGCACTGTTTGCTACACAAAAGGGATCCACTTCCCTTAATTTAATCCTGATCTTATGCAGGTAAATAACCTTAATTAGATGGATCTCAATGGGTTGTTAGATTCAAATTGATACATTAACAATTTTCTAGTTCGGTATCCAATATATGCTAATAGTTTCTAAATAATATTAGTTTTCCCAAATGTGTATTTTTCTTGAGTATGTCAGTATCCTTGGTTTTAGTTTTTGCCTGTTAGGTTTAGTTGGAATTAAATTATTGTGATTTCTTCTCTTACCTAGTAGATGCCAGCCTTTTTTTTTTTTTTAAACCAGGGATCAGAGAGAGAATTACGCTCTAAAAAGAGATGAATGTTTGCTCATTTCTCTTAAAGTTGGTAATACCATTCTAGATAATTCTATCCTAGATGCATAGTTAATGTATTACATACAGATGGCTTATGGCATGAAGGCTTAATTTTCTCTTGGGACCTTCCCAAAATGTTACAGCATGCATCAGATGGCTTTGGTATACAATATTATGCCAGATAATTTGAAATAAACTTTTATAGAGATATTAAACTGTGGAAATGAGTTAATGGTGCTCAATCAAGCAACATTATAGACTTTCTCAACTTCAAAGGAATTAAATTATGTTAAAAGTAAACACTAATATGCTGACTTTTATACAAAAGCACAAGTTTTAGAGTTCTGATTTAGTGCACAGTCTTGGAGGAGAATGGCATTGCCATATAGTTTTTTATTTTATCAAATAATGTTCCTTGCTGGAAAAATGGAGTTGAAATGCATTTGTATTTAAAGTATTTCTTCTTTTCCAAAATTCATATTTTTTCACAAGGAATCACATTTATAATTGGTATATTCCTTAAGAAGTAAGCCTAAGTTATAAAGCACATTTCCGCTTGGCAAATTAGTAGAAATTGACCTTTTTATACACTTTCCTAACGTTTTTGGCTTATTCATACTAAATCTGCTTAGTCTTCATGTTGTTTATATGCTAGATTCACTTGTGCTTCAATTGAGGATTGGTTTCTTTAGCCCATAAATGGTCCCTTTTTTAAAAAAACTAAAGATTTGACTGATACTATTTAATTATTAAAGGTAAACTATGTGGAGGGGAATTTATCTTATTATTTTACTTTAACAAAGTGAGAGTACTGCTTAAATTGTTTAAATGTTAAATGAGTTCTTTTTTTTTTTTTTTTGAGCCATAAAGAGTTCAGTTGTTTGATAGTTAAGGTGGAATCTTACATTTTTTTCTTTTAGGTTGACAATTGCATTTTTTGCACTCTCCGGGCTGGATATGTTGGACTCCTTAGATGTGGTGAACAAAGATGATATAATAGAGTGGATTTATTCCCTTCAGGTCCTTCCCACAGAAGACAGTGAGTGAGTTTTTAGCATTTTATTTTTAGTGTGACTAGTTGTACCTGACATAACATGTGTTGAACTAGTAAATTTTATATTCACTTATATAATATTAACATATTTTATATACCTGTTTCCCTTGTAATGTGGCATTCCCATTCTGTTGAGATACAACACCTAACAAGTCTAATCAGTAATCTCCGGAGAGAACAATTTAGAGTCGTCAGAGATTAGAGAGTCACAGTTGTAGCTCTGCATTATTTCGTACACTTCCATACTGATGACTGCTTGCCGATTATTTGTATTCAGTGTTTATGTATGATTAATTCTGTAGCATTCACTGTCTTCATTCCTAGCCATTCGTTTTGTCTCTTCAGTGAAAAACTCTGCAAGCAAAAAGTTTTATTTCAGTCTCTGGTCATGTTTAACTAGCATTTTTAAATGGTTTCTTAGAGCTCTTACTTATATGTCATTCATTTTTATACTTCTTAAAACAAAAAAAAATTGATTATCTTTTCAAAATTCCTAATTTACATGATAAACTAAATATACCCATTTTATAAACTCTATTAGATACTCTCTTAAGTATAAAAGAAAAACCCTAACAGATGTAACTTATACATTTTAGAAAGTGTAACTTTAAAATGATCCAACAGTGGCAGAATGCATGCTTAGCTTTTGTGATCTCCAGCACTATATGTGTACCAAAAAAGATTAAGCAAATAAACTTTCAGGAAATCATGCAGTTTGTCACTGGTCACCACTTTACTTGTGGAAGCCAGCATTTATCAATTCAAAATATGATTCATTGATTGAAGTACTTGTATAAATCTCATCCAATGGTCTTTGGAGAAGTAAGCTAAAATTTTATTTAGAAAGAGGTTTGGAGTGGAAATGTGATTCAGTAATAGATTGCTTGCCTAGCATTTGTGAGGCCCTGAGTTTGATTGCAACACTGACCAAAAAAAAAAAAAAAAGAGAGAGAGATGACCTTGAACGTAGCTTGTGGCTTTCTACTCTGTTCTAGAAGTTCATAGCTTTTGTTTTTACATAATTTAAAAAATCAATACATATTTACCAGTTCTTGTTAAAAAATTAAGCATTTAGAACTAGATCTTTCAGAATAATATATAAATAAGTCACTTTCCACCAACTACATGAAGAAGTATATATGATAATTTGGTCAGTAGTTATAGATTTCAACATGTTGGTAAGTTAGATTTACTGAATTTTTTGTTAAGAATACTCAGCTAAATCTATAGAAGAGTTTTGTGATAAATTACAAGATATAGTCCTTAGTTTCTAGGAACCTGTGGCTGAAACCGGTCATACTTAGTAACTTGCATAAAGAAGTAACTTATGGATTTCCATTTTTGCCAGGATTTTTTTTTTTCTACATAGTTTTAAGTGAAAGTCTAGAATTTTTTTTTTTTTTTTAAGTTCAGTGTTACACAGATGTAAGATAGTATTACAAATTCAGCTTGGTTTTTTCCCCCCTAAAATTACATGCCATAATTATAGACTACAGTTTCTTTAATGTATTTTACATAGTGAAGATAAGTAGTTACACTGTAGCACATAAAAAAGCTATTCTGTGACTTTTTATTGAAACATACTTTAGTATTGCTTTTATTTAAAAATCGGCTGATTCTTTCTCTTGAAATAAAGTGACAGTTGTCTCTGTAGCATAATATGGATCATAACATTTTAGTGAGAGAATTTATGCCATTCATTAGTTTCCAGATAATTAGTCACTTACTTGTCATGTTTCCTATCTTCTGAATTTATATTTTCCTCTGATTTTAAAGATTATTTGGTGACTCCATGATTGACCTGGTTTTTGATCTGTTATTTAGTATGTGTTTACTTCCCCCTAGCATTTTATTAGTGAAATGAAGTGGTTTTTGTTGTTGTTGCTTTTTAAAGACTGCATGGTTTTTTTTTTTTCATTTATTTAATCTTTGTTCTAAGAGATTTACTATTATTTAGGTTTGGCATCTGTAGTAATTTTGTTTGTTCCATTTCTATTAGAATAGCTTAAAAAGGGAAAGATGAAAAGTGTTAACAAGAATATCACAAACTGGAACTCTTAGATTGTTGTAGGAGTTTTATAATTACTTTGGAAAACTAGGGCTAGAATGTAGCTCAGTTGTAGAGCTCTTGCCTACCATGTACAAGGACTTGGGTTCAATCACTAGTACTACCAAAAAAGAAAAAAGAAAGGAAACTATTTGGCAGTAGTTATGAACATTATACATCCTGTGACCCAAAATTCCACTCCTAGTATATTCTCAAAGAAATGAAAATATGTTTACCAAAAGGATATGTGCTAGAATGTTTATAGCAATATTTTTCATAAAATCCCTGAGCTAGGAACCATATAAACAACTATCATTGGTGTAATGATAAACTGGCCTCTTCACATAATGCAGTAAGGGAATGAACAACTATAAGCAGTTCTTGAAATGAGTGTCACAAATGTGTTTTGAGAGAAAGTGCGTTGTTTTCTTTTGAATGCTTAAAATCTTTTGAAGTTAGAGTTGCAATTTACTGTGATTTAGAAGACCTATTAGAGAAATTCTATTTCCTGTTGTATTGTCATTTTCATTTGTTCCATCAGTTTGAAGCTCTTTGCTAATTTTTTTCCTTTAAGCATTGCTACTTAAAATATTTGTTATTTCTAGCTGAATTATAAATGCCCAGAGCATTATCTGGCTCCTCAAATATTTTCTCATTCATAAAGCATTTGCAAACTGAGTAAACTCTGCAATTTATAGTCCTTTATTTGTCCTACTTTGTGATGTCACCAAAAAAAAAAAAAAAATTAGGGAATTTAAAAACATAAATGTTACACAAAACCTGGAGATCCCAAAGGAAATTTTGGTCAATTTGACGAAATAAATATTTAGAAATTTTCTGTAGTGAGTTAATAATTTATATAAGTGACAGACATGGAGGAGATTGTGGCTATAACAAAATTAGTAGCCACACCAGGAGGAATTCTTAAAGAGCAAAGAGAAAAAGGCACACCATCCTTTAGAAAATGACAGAACTTACAGCTTGTTAACAGAAGAAGTACAGATAATCAGTAAATACATGAAAAGATGATTAATATAGCTAGAAATTGGGGGTATGCAGATGAAATAATGGTATTACATTATTTTTTACCTACATCAGTTTAGCAAAAGTTTTTAAGAGTTGTCAAAGATGTGGGGTGAAGACACTTTAATGTTCAGTTGGTGGAAATAAAAATTATTACAGAATTTTGAAATGCAGTTTAGCAGTTTAATTCTTTTTTATCCCATCTGACATATTCTCATGTATAGTGGATTGAACGTTGGCCTGATAAGTTCTGTTCACCCAGAACTTCACAATGTAACCTTATTTGGAATAAAAATCTTTGCAAATATAATTATGGTAAAGATCTGGAAATGAGACTAGTGTCTTACAAGAGAAAGAAAAGGGAGATGAAACCAGAGGCGGAGGCTATTTAAGACAGGTGGTTTAGAGTGATGCATCAACAGCTAAGGAATGCCCCCGCCACTAGTCAGAAGACATGAAATGATTTCTCCCTCAAAGCCTCCAGAAGGAAGCAACACTTGATCTTGGATTTCTGGGCTCCACAACTGTGAGAGAATAAATCTTTGTTGCTTAAATCACCAAATTTATGAGAATTTGTTACTAACTTTGGGGAAACTAAGAAGAGTGTTTATTTGATATTTTGTTACAGTAACAAATTAGAAGCAAAATAAATGTTCATCAAAGCAGAACAGTTAACCAGACATGGTGGTGCATTCCTATAATCCCAGCAGCTCAGGAGGCTGAAAGAGGATTGCAAGTTAAAGCCAGCCTTAGCAATTTACGGGGACCAAGACCCTATCTCAAAAAATAAAAAGGGCTAGGTATGTGGCTCAGTGATTAAGTGCCCTGGGGTTCAATCCTTGGTACAAAAAAAGGTGGGGGGGACCATTAAACCATAACTCAGTGAAGAATACTGCATAATAGTAAAATAATTGAGATAGATGTGTATATGTACTGATAAAATTCTGTCCATCATATATAGTCAAATCCTAATTTAAAGCATGCACAAGAGCAGGGGTGGTCAATACATGAAGGATCATGTGAGCCTAGGTGTTTAAGGCCGTCCTGGGCAATATAGAGACCCTGTTTTATTTATTTTTTTTTTATTTTTTTTATTTTTTTTTAAATTTTTTATTGTTGGCTGTTCAAAACATTACATAGTTCTTGATATATCATATTTCACAATTTGATTCAAGTGGGTTATGAGCTCCCATTTTTACCCCATATACAGATTGCAGAATCACATCAGTTACACATCCATTGATTTACATATTGCCATACTAGTGTCTGTTGTATTCTGCTGCCTTTCCTATCCTCTACTATCCCCCCTCCCCTCCCCTCCCCTCCCCTCCCCTCCCCTCTTCTCTCTCTGCTCCCTCTACTGACAATCGTTTGTCCCCCTTATATTATTTTTCCCCTTCCCCTCACTTCCTCTTGTATGTACTTTTGTATAACTCTGAGGGTCTCCTTCCATTTCCATGCATTTTCCCTTCTCTCTCCCTTTCCCTCCCACCTCTCATCCCTGTTTAATGTTAATCTTCTTCTCATGCTCTTCGACCCTACTCTGTTCTTAGTTACTCTCCTTATATCAAAGAAGACATTTGGCATTTGTTTTTTAGGGATTGGCTAGCTTCACTTAGCATAATCTGCTCTAATGCCATCCATTTCCCTGTAAATTCTATGATTTTGTCATTTTTTAATACAGAGTAATACTCCATTGTGTATAAATGCCACATTTTTTTTATCCATTCATCCATTGAAGGGCATCTAGGTTGGTTCTACAGTCTAGCTATTGTTAATTGTGCTGCTATGAACATCGATGTAGCAGTGTCCCTGTAGCATGCTCTTTTTAGGTCTTTAGGGAATAGACCAAGAAGGGGAATAGCTGGGTCAAATGGTGGCTCCATTCCCAGCTTTCCAAGAAATCTCCATACTG